CGCAGAGCAACCCTCTGTTGCGTGACTCAGAGAACTACACAGTGGAGCAAGTTCGGTGGCGTTTCCTCTCAAACTTATACACTTCTGTTGCCCTTAATTATTCTGCTTTTTTCTTCTCTTTCACTTTCTCTTTGTCCTTGAAGTTGTCTGGTTTCTGGGCAACTACTACTGACAGATTCCACTAACGTACATTAGAGAGTGACTAATTGACAAAGGTCCTACTGACCGCCCGGACAAACAATTAACGGATAGTTTAGTACAATTTGTCAATTCTGACAAGTTGTCGTCAGTAAGCAGCGTTTAAAACATATTTGGTTGCATTCAGCGACCAGATAAACAAGGAGGATTATAAGACGGTTGTGTTATTCTTCTGCTAGAATAAAAGCAGATTTTGGAAATTTCTCCGATTTTATCGTAACACTCCAGAATGGTGGCTACATGGGAGCTGTACCTAAAATTAACTGTCTTTAACTCGTTATCAAATATTTTAAATGGCATTATTATTCACCTAGGTGTTTCTTGTTATCATTATTCGTCTATGGAGATAAAGGTTACTAAAGAATGGCAATTTCTCCGGTGAGTAGACAAAGAAGCTAATTGATGATGTTCATGCTCATAGTCTGAAAACCTTTTGGTTTATTTTGCACTGATGCTATTTTTGTATGAAAGAAGGTTCATTTCAACAACCTCATCATAATAAGTATTCAGGTGGATACAAACAGATACCTTGCTTTTCATAGTTATGTAATTATGTGTATGACGTAACTACATACTGATTTTTTTTTTTTGTAAATATTCACAACCCAGCGCTGTTCAACCAAACTGCGATGGTTATTCTGGCGTTGATTCTGACAAACACAAATAGTTTTCTGAAAAGTCCCACTGCAATTTTCGCGACTACTTGAATTTCAGTCGCAAATTGTCAATCTTTCTGAAAAAGGGCATTAGAACGAAATTTGTCGTCCTGCAACTGGTTACGCCAGCGTATACTTCATATTCCAATATGCCTAACTCTGAGAAGCAAACTAGCTTCCGAAATTCCTTGCAAGGTGTCTGATATATCCTGCTTTAATTTGATCGTGCTTTCGCCTTAACCTGTGTTTGAAATTTTTATAGCACTAGAGTGAAACTTCTAACAAAGCTCTCTTTCTAAATTTTAGAGCAGAGCACAAGGCGTTTACTTGCAATAATAGCAGGTTTTTTACCTATCTTCTTACTAATACTATTCAAAATATTATTTACAAAACCAGGTACAAAAAACAGATAAGTTGTATAAACATAGTGTTGATCACAGCAATATTACTGATACAATATAAATTTTTGTAGGAAGAACAATATCTGTTGGTTTTAGACCACAGAAATTCCAAGTTGTTAGGTTGTCAAAAAGTATGCTGAATTTGACTTTATTCCATATTTTTTAACTCTGTGTAGACTAAGAATTGAAAAAGGTCAGTTTTCATGGAATCTCCTGTGATATGGAGAAAGTCAAATTCAGAATTATATCGCTGTGAGTCTGAGTTCAGTCGTTGAGGATCGCAATTCTCTATAACTGCCTACAAATAGCGTCCATGTTCCAGCCATTACTTCTATTTTCACTTTGAAAAGTAGACACATTGCCACTTTTGAGCTGGCCCGCATGGAAAGACCTGAAATTGTATATTAACGAATTTGTTCTACAACTGTTTGACTTGCAATCAGACGGACTAGGAATAGAAGTGTGTTAGTTTTAAGTCAATCATAGCTCTTTTTGTTGAGCAGTTGAGAGTTTTAAACTTCGAAATAGATGACATTCCACTCTTGTTGAATGACAGTTTTCGTCATTATATTAATTCACTCCTTATTCGTCAAAGCAACGAGATGCCATAGAAGTTCGGTCAATATCACCGAAGTAATGTGTCATACAACATTTTTACATTCACAACCATTTTTTTTTCTTCCTGCAAAGATAGGCTGGCCCACCATAGTGAAATTTGGGCAACGTTACTGAACTGTTCACACAACTGTGGACCTTTAAGGATAGCTCAGCTCACAGGTGAAGCACAAATGTACAACTGAAAATTCACGGTCCTCAAGACATACAGACACGTGAATCCTTCAGCTCGACATAGAGGGAATAGGAAGATCAAAGGAAATCCCCTGTTCTTGCAAAAACGAGCTGCCAGAGTGATCTGAATAGTTTCCGACCTCAACGTGAAGATGGCAGCACCCTTAAATAAAAGCTATACCATAACTATCAAAACTTGTAATGACTCATCGATGTTCACGTGAACATCACTCAGTCTCTGGCAGTCGGGTTGTCAGTGGCGGGGTATGAATTTTCAATGTGGGAGAACTTGATTTCATTTATATGTTTAATAAAAAAGGAAATGGCTTGAAAGTCGTTTTAGATCAGACATTTGGAGATTACCTTTGTCATTTTTTTGCCTGATTATCCATGAGCTAATAGATTCTACCTCTCTTCAATTGTAGTCGTTTCAACTTCCATCTGAAAGTAATAATCTGTCGCTATCGCTTTCTTTGCCAAGATTGACTATAACTTTTTATTTCTTCCTTCACAACATGACGGACAGCATTCTGCCACGCTTCAGGCTGTATGGAGTTTTCTAGCCAAGTCCTGACGTCTGGTTATTCAAAGGATGTGTCATGGAGTGCAATATAACCCTTTACTTGAGCCCAGATGAGCTTTATTGGGTTCAGTTCAAAATGGTAGGGCGGTAAAAGCAGCACAGTGACACCACAATGACGGGCCATTTCATCAATCACGTAACTAATGTTCGCAGGCTTCTGATGTTTAATTGTTTCGTACACCTCCGCTTTGACACATGAATCGTCAAATGGAATGCCCTTTTCGCGCAACATTGCTGCATATAACTTTTTCGAGACCCCATATTTGGTACAAGTTCGGCTCGACGACTGGTATGAAGCATTATCCATAACGATCCCAGAGTTGGGTTCAACTCGCTGAAGCACCCCTTGAAACCAGCTCTCGGGGCAGTTGAGATTCATTTCGTCATGGTAATCACTTACTTTCTTAGAGATGAAAGTCAAGTTGCATCCTTCTGAAAAGCCACTATCGCTGCTAATATGTGTAACGATCAATCTTTGACCTTTCCCTGACGGTGCACGAAGACCTGTTGACAAACCTTCAATGTTTGCTTGTCGATTACTTAGAACATTTCTGTTTATCCAGGTTTTTTTACTGTGTGACCTGCACTTACCCACGTCTCGTCCAAATAATAAATGTTACTGCTCCCTCGTCGCTACGCGACTATTTCAGGTTTCTCTATCAATCCTAACTTCCGATTACGCATTTAGTAACGAAAGTTAAGTTCGTGCAAGGTTTTCGTTAATACATCGACGCTCACAGGAATATAAATTCTCATAGTGGGGTCACTTGGTTTTAGTTATTTTCATCATCTACTTTTTTAGACACCCATCAGCTATTAGCTGCCATACGAATAAATATAATTTCGGCGATGAAGTACAAAATCCTCAACGACTGTACTATTTTTAAAATATTCATAGAATATTTACGAGCCACTTCAAACACCTAACGATAAAATAAACCTTGATATATGAATAATTTTACTTAACTACACAGCCAAGCCTTCCTTCATTTGAGAGATCGGTCCAAAAAAAGTGAAAACGATAGCCACCTTCGAAAATTCTTAACGCTTCTATTTTACTTTATATACAATAATAATAAAATTCGCAAAATTCAACAAGAGATACATACGTGTATAAAATATGGCAGGCCTAATACTCTACGATAGTTAGCTGTCTTTGGAAAGAGCTCTGAAGTCAATTAACATACTTTTCAGTTTGATGTCTTGCAAACATATCAACCAGTTATATTAAATTACGAAACAGTACAGTAGCTGACAAATTTTTATTTTTGCATCGTCATTCAATTTCTGCACAACCGAACTTTTATGTCTGAAAAATTTCATAATCCTGATAAACTATCTATATAGCACTAATAACTTATTCAAAACCATCATTTTTTATTTCTTATCATTCTGCGTCATTTCCTGGGTCAGTGCTGATGAAATCATGCTTCTTTCTAGTTTGCAGTGACTTTTATCTTCTTCTTTTATGACAGATCCCAGTGGAGATGATGACGCCAAAGTAATGTCATTATCGGTAGCTTTTGCTCAGAAACGTCATTGACTGAAAAATGATGTTTTTATTGACATCTTTTTTATGACAACAAGACGTCCTTTAATGAGCTGTCATTTTGACGTACCTTTTAGGACCGTTAGTACTGGAAAATCAACACCTACCTACAAAGAAAATATAGACTTTTAATGAACAGTAAGGTAAACTACATATCCAAATACTTCATCGTTATTTATAAAGAAGTAACAGGAATTCTTTGACCAAAAGTATCTTGCTAATGTGACTTTTCTAAAAATAATATTTCAGGTTCAGATATTTTTCAAGTTGCCATTTTACATCATGTTTTATTCCTGCAATTAACAAATTTATTAGAAGCCCCTCAGTATAATAATAAACAAGTTTCACTATAATATTTGTAATCAAGCGTGATAAAAATTCAAACTTTGGAACGGTATATCGTTCCACCGATCATCAGCGAAGAAGCACGTAGTCAGTCAGGCGTGGGTCACATCCGGGAAACAAGAAGTGTTTTGGCCTCCTGTGAGAAGGCCAAGCGATTTTGACGAATTGCTACAAATTCTGAACCACCGGAGGACTGGAACGTGTTTGAGATCAAACGGTGTTTTCAGTTCTTTATTAACCACTTAGATATACTTGGTATAAATGCTCCTGAAAAATTGCGGAGGTGATAACGAATGGTAGGTAAATTCTACTACGTTTGAACTCACTGCTTGTGAGGAGTCATAGTCACATCGTTCATTTTTCAGCAGCATTTGGATACACTGTACGTCATATCGACTTCACATAGACGTGTTTGGTCTTTCAGACGACATACTGTGAGGTCAAATAATGACGTCAATTGAGTGAGACATTAGACCGTCATAATGATGATACTTCTACGTGTTTTTGTTAGTTGTTGTATGTCAGTAGTTCCCTAAAAATGCCGACATTATGACGCCTCTATATTCACTGGGATCTAATTTAAATCGGACAAAAGTGTTGCAGTATACATTTGCAAGAAGAATGAACAATCAAGGAATGTTCAAAATTTTCAGTTGTAAGTTTTCTAGTCGTACCAATTCTGAGGTCTTTCCAAAGAAGCAATAATGATAGCAGTATAGATGCTGATTTCATCATCTCTCAAGTGGAATAAACCATTTACTTTTATATCTACAAATCTCACTGAAAGTTTCCTCTGTTGATAGACAATGAAATTAACAGCCAGCTTAAGAGCAACCCGTGAGAAATGTTTGAAGTAGTTTTGTAAGTTATATTTCTAGCTTAAACCTTAATTCAGCCAGATCAGAAACCCATATGTTGAAAGTCAATACTTCTTACTAACACTTATTTCCTCACCTGAGAACAGATTCCTGAATTCGGAGTGTATATTCTCAGGTTCGTACAAAGCTTTCTGAGACATTGAAATTCAACATGAATTACGTCTGGGCGATATTACTTGTTTTCAGTCTACCATTAAGCATATAAGTTACAATACTACGACTGCTAAAATGTAGGGCTAGGTGCAAGAATCGATGGTGTTAAAGAAAGTCCTTTGGTTTTCTAGAGGACGGGGTCTGAAGTGATGGTGGGTCATCCTGGAGCATTTTTGTTGTTTCCGTAGGGCTAGCAGCGGCACTGTCTGATACTGGAGAAGTAATATTTGATGAAAGACCCTTCATACCTCCCGAAGAAGGTGTAGGAGCCAGAGGAGCTGTACCTAAACAAACATTTATTTTGTATTATCACCCGTTGAAATGCTAACAGTAGGATATAATGGGAATAGAACTTTTACCAATGAGATTCGGACTCGCTAAATGTTGTATGTGATGTGGTGTGACAAAGTTCTGTGAATTAACAGCGTTTTGTTTTAGTGTGGTGCAGTTCCAGTAATCTGCCATAGTAAAAGGTGACTTTGTAAAAGTTTTCTTTCATTTGGTCGTTCTGTTACATTAACATTCTCTCTCATATTTCTCAAAAAGTTTCAGAAGCGCCTCAAGTTCTTGTCAGGAAATCTATGCCATTTTACGACATTAGTGCTTTGAAGGAATTATATTTTGCATATCTGCGTAGCAGACTTGAATATGGGAGTATTATATGGAGCCTGTATTACCACATTTATATGCAAGAAATTGAAAAAGTTCAAAGAAGGTTCCTTACATTTTTTTATATGACGTCTGAGGAAATTTATTCTGAGCACACAGTTAAAAATGCAGAGATATGTGGGCATTTTGAGATTTAAAGCTTAGAGTTTAGAAGAGAGGTTTCATCTGCAATATTTCTTTTCAACTTATTACATAGCATGATCGACCCCTCAGATATTCTAGCGCAAATTGATATTAATGTACCTCCGTTTCCTTCGCGTAACTATGTCACTTTTGAACCATCTAAAGCAAGGTCCAACGTTTTGATCAAGTCACCTCATTGCTATATATATATATTTATATATATATACACCTTGGGAAAAACCATTATTATACATTATGATGAGGAAGAGAGATGGAAATATACAAAAGTATGTAGGTGCGTGAAAGACACTTGATTGTAGGATCGTATCTGGCAGCGTCGGAGTGTGACGGACAACGGGGTAAAGTAGAAGAGTGATAAAAGAGAGAGATGGCAGAACGGGCGCTGGCGCCTGCCGCTTAGATGGATGCGCTCAACAAATGCGGTTTGTTTCTCCCATTCGCAGAGTTGCCGATACCAATATGTCATATTTCTAAGAAATCTAAGTCTACCCAAATTTCGGGAAAAATAGCTGCGGATTCCACATAAGAGTATTCCAAAAATGAAAAAAGTTCAAACTATTAAAATTGTATTAATGTTTCATGGTTCAAATCATATCTTTCATGTTTGTATATTGTTGTATAAATGATTTTGTAATCCCTATTCTTGTTGCCAGTAGAGATACAACAGTATTGAGAGAAATCATGGACCGCTAGATAGGGCTACAACTACCATATGACTATCAAATAGTAGTGATAAACAGGGTTTGTTTATAGCACAGTGGCCTCGTGTGGCGAATTTGCGCCATAGGGGCGATTTGACAACTTTGAAGGACAACTATAACGGTTACTATGGTGCCCGGTATTCGGGAATCTGGCAATACCTGATGATTCCTAACGTTTATTATGCCAGATTGTTTGCTGACTTGCGCAGTACAACATGACAATCAACGTGAAAGAGCACCTGGTAACCCTGGTTTAAGGTGTTATATTTAAAGAGCTTGGGGCAGTTAGGTATCTAGGTCACATTTTTTAATGTATTTCGAGAAATCCGTAATGTTGAGTAAATACTAGATCACGTTTCTTGCTTAGTTTGCTGAAAATTCTACAATAGACGTACATTCTGAGAAACAGAGATTTGGTGACGACAAAATCGTAAAGATATAACGTATTTTCGTAAAATAATTTCTTTGTTGAAAAGACTGTGGCTTGATGACCCATTGAACGAGTATGATGTCCCGCTCCGCTTTGAATATTCGAAACACTATACTCAGGCAGCATTCAGTTTCAATGTTATCTTTATGAAGTTCTAACGTCTAGGCCATGCTGATTAAAAGCTTGAATGAATCAACACTTAACTCTAAATTCCCCACAATTCGGCAAGCTCTACTCAAATTGGCAACACAGCCTATTATTCTCATTCGTGATACAGGTCTGCGGTTAACGGTAGGAAATATGTACGAATAGCGATGAAAGTAGACGAGCCGATGCGCTGTTGCCAAGAAATGATTTCCCATGTATAACAATAGTTTTTCCTAAGGTGTATATAGGTGAAAATCAGAGCTCCCGCCAATTTTTTAATCTCTCCAGCTTTCAATGGTCTTTGCCAACATCATCAGGAGCTGCAATTACATTGATAAAAGTAGCAACAATTGTGTAAAATAAATTTAAATTAACTTACAGTAGTATGTGAGGATGTTGCTAAATGTTATTTACGTTAAGGATGGGGGAAACACCCAGTAACATGGTGAAAGCTGGATACATGGTACAATGGTCAAAATTATACAAACTACATACAGCTGTATGATAAGAACAAATTAAAAACAGATTAAAAATATTTAAAACGAAAGTTAAGCATTACATCCTGGAGCCACTTGATGATTGCACAAAATGGTGGGCATAGAATCATGAGTAAGATGAACCTTTTGACAGATGGCCGAAGGTTAGCAGTGTCCGTGTAGAATGATGGAACGAAAATTCTTTTGTAAGGCCTGTGCTACGTTGCCAAATCACTTCAGATGGTGTGATTTTCAAGATATGTTAGGTAAGAACTTGTCAACCCGACCAGAGGCAGTTGAATTAACTATATTATTATGAGATGGGGAATTGAATTAACAGTTATTATTTAATTAAAGAGACAAGAATTATTAAAATTTGAATGGAATGGAATTCTTTGGTGGAATAGACCAAAAACAGATTCCATTTATGGTTGTGAAGAGTCAAAATTTGGAGAGATGTGTATGTGCTCCAATTTTTCGTAGTTTAGCAAATATGAGTAAATGACGCTCAGTTGCTTAACATCTGTCTTCTTATTGATACAGCTGTCATTCATGAAAATGTGGGACATTTCCAGGAATAAACGTTTGGATAGGTGTTTTTCGTTATCGAGAAATTTGATACTTGGGTAGTTCACAGAGTGCCCTGTTGTTGACATGAGATGCTAGAGCACATCTCTCGGGATGATGAAGCCTAAAATCACTTTTTTGTGATGTGTAATCCTTCCTTTAAGAGATCTGGAGGTCTGACCTATGTATATTTGGTTGCAATTGTTGCAATTGACAGAGTAGACTGTGTTGGTTAAGCCAAGCAGCGGGACTCTGTCTTTCATCTTTGGAAAAATGCAGTTTATAGTGAGGATGGATTTGCAAGCAATTCGATAGTTCAGCTAGCTAAAATGTCTTCTCATGTTCAATAATTTATTAATATGTTCGGGTGTATTGATATTTTCATGTAACGAAGGTATCTGTCGTTATCAACAAGCCCAGTGTCTCCGTCCTTTTGTTTTTATACTTATTACAAGTTCTATCTTCTCTACGTTCGTTTTGAAACACCTTGTGGCTGCAACCTAAACGACGAAATCCTGATGAAGGCTCCATGGAGAATGCCGAAAGCTTGATTTTATCGTCAAAATAGTCAACTTAAGCCTAAAAATTTGCCAATTTCCCAATCAAGAATTAATTGTACTTTGTGCCCAACTCGTCGTTGGCTTTGGCAATGACTACTGCTCACGTAACATCCACAGATTTGGGATACTTTCAACACATTGAAGAACGTTATGGAACACGCTATAAACCTAAAATGTCTTCTCATGTTTAACAATTTTTAATATGTTCGGGTGTATTGATATTTTTAATATGTAACGAAGGTATCTGTCGTTATCAACAAGCCCAGTGTCTCCGCCCTTTTGTTTTTATACTTATTACGAGTTCTATCTTCTCTACGTTCGTTTTGAAACACCTTGTGGCTGCAACCTCAACGACGAAAGCCTGATGAAGGCTTCATATAGAATGCCGAAGGCTTGATTTTATCGTCAAAAGAGTCAACTTGACCCTAAAAATTTGCCAATTTCCCAATTAACAATTAATTGTATATATATATAGGTATAAGGTATATATATATATATATATACCTTCTCTTAGTATCGTCATTAGGATGCCTTATTAGTACTTTAATCGATCATTCTCTTTCCAACTCTGTCGTAGACTATTAGTTTATTTTGGTCATGTAATTGTCCCGGTAACTGTTGGTCAATAAATAGTATTATTATTACGATTATTATTATACTGTTATGGTTAATTTTCGAAGATATCTGGCTATAAAGTCATGGTTGCATGCAAAGCCTCAAGTAAAAGCTGTACACTAGCACAAGCTCCTCCAGGTCGTGCGATATCTTTGCTCTGGGTGCAAAGCTAAGTATGATTCAAAATAACACGAATATATATAATGGTTTTGTCAAAAGAACGTAAAATATGCACCAATTCAACAACGCTAGTTTCGCCATAAGAAAACATTAATAGTGATAACAGAAAAACTAGCACTTTTCTCAGGTAGGACGATGTCGTCTTAGTGACGTCGATTTCTTGTGATAATAGTGAAGTCTCTCCCTATATCTTTCTTAGGTAATTTAGTACATTACTTTGTTGTTATACCCACATATTGGGTGCAATTATGTTGTATCTGTTGTGTATAGTAGGTCTTATATTAATAATGATCATGGAATTTTTGAAAATAAATGTGAGCGCAAAATGAACAAAAAATGACCTTATTAGATACAACATTTAAATAAAACATAAGAGAACAAAAAAAACGCATATCACATATTAGCTACTCAATGTGTTTTATTGAAAATATGTTTACGATTAATCTGGTAGTGTTATATCGAGTGACAATTCACAGTGAACTAGTTATTCATTATGAATAATCGAAGTCATCTTCACGTCCAGCAAGTGACTTACTATTGATGTCTGCCATGTGACCTCAACCGTATGTGACAATAGAAGGTTATTTTCACGTTGCTCTTACGTCATTCAACTCGCCATTCCTCGTCATTTCATTATTAGTTTGCAACGTCATTTTCATGTGCTTGTGTGACCTAGCCTTTTTACTTTAAGGCTGTTAGATGACATATCTGGTCTCCACACGACCGTTTTCTCAAGATTCTTTTACTTGTTTGTGTAACAGCTTACCCTTAATCCTTGTTTTCGATCTCCTCTTCTTCAGTATGATTGGCCCAAGTCCAGTACCCTCCGCCCTGGGAATCAACTCTGTGGGTCTTTCTGCAGGATGGGCACTGTTGGAAGACTTTTTTGTGTCGTTTTCGTTGGGAGACTGGGAACCACCGGAACCACCACTGTCGCCTGCTTGAGAGGTGGCACCAGGGGGCGTCAATCTTTTTAAAAGTTCCGAAATCATTTCTTCTATCCTGTTCACCTTTTGGTTGACGCGTTGAATCTCGAGCTTTACATCAACCTTAAAGGAGGAAAGAGAAATCTACATGGTATCCTAGAATAACATGTTAATCGCACGTATACATAATCTACATGGCATAGCTTGTTGATGATACCTTGAAATCCATGAGATTGGTGATGATCTCCTTGTACTCCGCAGGCGCGAGGTGCTCCTGAGCTGAAAGTGGGACGGCAGTTTGATACATGGAAGCGACCGACGGGTCTCTGAGACCACAATCGTAGCTCAGCATCTTCCTCAGGGACAGGTTGCGAGGTTGCTGTTCTACCTCGCCCACTTCATCGATAGTATCCTGGCGGGTGATCCCAGGACTTGTCGTTGCAGAAACCTATGTTTTTGTGATAATGGTTAATAGAGAAAGTCGTTCTTCTGCACACTCGAAAAGAAGAAAATGGTTGATTGGATTCAACGCTGGCCTTTTGATCTTTGTGATTCAAGGACCGCACCAGTCATGGTGCGGGTCTATAACGAGTCAATGGATCTAATCCAGAGTGAACTGTGCTCAAGTGACACACGAACCCAAATACTCGAAGACTAATCTTGCGCGCATATAAACTTTAACGAACAGTGAGAGTGACAGTGATACGATCAAAAGATTTCAATATAAAGGTCGATTTATAAACTCTAACGTTTCGAACCGCTACCATTTGACGTTAAACTGTTTATAAATAGAAATTCCGCAACATTTGTCCGTAACGCTGACACTAGACTTGACGAAGTTTTAACTTTTTGTCGTTGCCTTTCCCGATTCAACAAATGAAAGGAAGCTTGCAAATCACGCGTTTGTTGTCACATATCAGCTTGTTTTTTCGTGTTCTTTTAGCTCTGTCGCAAAAGTAGGGTTAGCTAGCACAGCTTGCCGTCTGTTAAGGCCAATTTATAAGCTCCTACCTGGCACCACTGCCGTAGCGTTCCCGTAACGCATATCATGGTTGCCTTTGGCCAAGTTGCAGTCAGAGTCAGATAAGGATCAACAGGAGCAGTCGCAGAACAGTAATATCGGTGTTTAGCTTTCGTCTTTGGCCCGAATTTGTTGTTGTTGTTTCAATATATGAGTAAATTTACAACAGCATGTTATTCCTCTAATGCTACAAGGAGATACATATAAATTTTTGGCTAAATTTAGATTGAAAACGCAACTTTTGGGATTGTTTTTTCTTCTGACATTTTAGCAATGTCAGTGAAATGTCAATGGGCATGCTGTCACTGTGCACGGAAGCCTGCAAGCTTCTAAGCCTGTGTTGGCACGCTTCTGGCGACTCAACGTGAATAGACTGGAGTGCATTAGGTTCATACCGCAAAACTTCGAGAAGCTGTATTTAGCAACTGTGTTCATGAAGATTTCCAAGGAAATGGAATCAAATACTATTTATTGAGAGGAATATGCGTTATTTTTGATCAAGTTTTTTAACTGATCTTGTTCTTACCTCTGCTGACACTCCACTAATGCATTTCCTGCCTACGCCCACTCCAGCACGGTGCACGTTAGAAATGCAGCTTAATACTTGGAATGCAATATGTAGTGTCTCAGATAGCTATGACTGTACCAATTGATATAGAATCTCGAGAGAGATATGACATAACGTCCTTCATGTTGTATAGTACAAATCTATCAAGGTGACATGCATTTAAGTTTTACACTTCTTGTCTGGTTTTCCTAGACATGTTTCTTTTCTGCGTACTATTTTCATCGTTATTTTAAAAATCGTCCTGCATAACTTTCAATGGTTAGTATAATTGCGAAAACAATGCGGGACCAAACTTTTTTAATTGCTGAATAGCTACTGATATATACAGAGTGTGAAACTTCAACCATACCTGGCTCAATATGATAGAATTGTGACATCCTTGACGTCTTTCGATATAGGCAAAAGTGTCTAATTACTTTCTGCATAGTATCTCTATGATTACGCTTATCATTTTTAGAAGGATGATACCTCAAAGCAGCATATACATGTATGTTACGCAAATAGGTTTATGTGTTTCGTCTGTAGCATAGATTCACTAGTATATCTAGGTAGGCTCTCTAGTACTAAGAACAAAGGAAGTTAGGTAAGCCGCCAGTAGAGAGCGAACATGTTACATACATGTTTTGCAAAGACCGTGATAGCGCCCCCTGAGGTGATTAGCTTTTTAATTGGCAAAATAGATTCACCGTTACACACTATACGTAAAGAATTTTCTATCACATAGCGTATCTAAATTTGGATCAAACTACTTTACCTTTTGGAGCTTAGGAAATATTTTGTTCCCAGAACCTGGTGTAGGCTGGCTTGCAGATCCTCCTGACGACGATGAACTAGGCCTTTCTTTGGGATCCTTTGCACTGAGACTTCTAGTGAATGCTTGAGGTACTGCAGAAGTTTCTGAGCCAGAATCCAAACTCGCGGAGCCTAGTAGTCTACCCCATTTGCTAGCACGAACTTTCAACATGCAACGTTAGATGATGTAACAAAATACTACTAAATTACTACTTAATCCGTAGCATCTAACGCTCAGTTTATTTCTCGACTCATGTGAACTATCATCCAGACGAGGTTGACAAGGGTAGTTGTGGGCAAAGTTTATTCAAAAGACCCTATTCGTATCGGAAGCTGACTAAGTACATATATTTAAGTAATGTAACACTTGAAGCTTATCTTGTGGTTTTCATGGTTGTTTTGCTCTAAACAAACCACAAATATGTTGCAGTCTTCTCTTTTTACTAACTCCTTGGCCACCACGATCGGTTTTTCACATTACAACTTCACTACACTGACAATGATTATCTGTCTTCCATCTTCTTCGCTACGACTGCCCGAATGGACTTAAACATATGTGGTTTAATTTAAGCCAATTGTTGTACGTTTATGGCAAAACTCTACAGTTCTACATCTCTGCCTCTATAAAATAATAAACTCATCACATTTCTGTTTGATACTATTCTTGGTCGCAAAAGGTACGTTAAAATATATGATGCAGAAAAGCAAATATAATCTGTTACATTAACGTCTATGTCCTGCGCGGGTGTTTGCCTGTACCTTTTGCGCCAAGGTGAGTCAATTTACTGTTATCATCGGGTGGTCGCACGGGAATCGAAACTTGAAATGTGTATCGGTGCGCATAGCAGTCAATTGAGGAGACTTTAACTTACCAGTATTTTAATTTGTGTAGTAAGTGGAGAGCGTATTACCGAGGTCGTAAGTTTATTAATAAAACTTTCATTGATACCATAGATTCAACATTTACAACCCACCATTCCCAACAACTCGCAAAATCCCAATCTTCAGCCATTACAAAATTTTTCTAAAAAGGTGCAGGGGTGTCTGAAGTGTCAAGAAAACTTGGCTTGAGTGATTTTTATTTTCCTTTCTTATCCTTAGCTTCGATGCCAATGGATCGATTTCCAAGCCCTACAAAGCTTTAGTAACACGGTGTGAAGATTTTATCAAATTCCGAGGGGAACTTATCAAATTGTACATAGGTTAAGGACTAGCTGACAGACAGAGACATGCTTTTTCGTGATGTACATGCCAAACAACATTCAAAAGATATTACATCTCATTCTCGCCAAGTGGCGTGAGAAGTAAGGTGAGCGTTTCAGAATGATTAGTTGAATCTTTACTGCTTGTATACACGGGCGTAACATGATGCACAACCAATCAAACGTACGCTTGCAACTCGGTAATTTGGCCTGTGTCAATCTAAACCCTCGTGAGGGTTTGTCGCCGCGCGATAAAACGCGCGCCACGTGAACAGGTACTAGTCGTTTAACGCGCGTTTGTTTTGCAGCGCGTCAACTTGTCGACCGTGTGTACCTTACAATTGTGACTGCGAATGTACCATGTGTTCGAAAATGCAACTTCTTAATTGTGGTGACATCACAAGTGTTTGGCTAAGGTGTCCAGTGGTGACTTTTCCGTTTATGATAAATTACCGAACAGCGAAATGAAACTGTGAACCTAAGCAATATAATTTGGAATTTTGTCTTGTCATTTTGGCGTTCCCGCAAATATTTGTGTAGTTATAAAAATGACGAGTTAAACAGACTAATAATGATGTAGTTCCAATAATTACATGGAGGCCACAAAATCCTGTACATAAAAAAAGAAGGATCCGTATACAGAATCTGAATTGGTAAATGGGGTTCAAAATATTCGTAAGCTTGTAAAAAAGTGATATAAAATCCTAATATAACTGTTAAAATTAAAGCTTGTAATGTTAGTTTAAAATTATTCTTATATTCATTATATTTATATAGCTGCAGTAGAACGTGCGTTTTAAAAGTTTTATTTTTTTGCTGAAGTTCAATTTCAACAAATTCTTCCATTTTTGTTTGTCAAATTCCAGCAGTTAAAGTAAAAAGACATTTACAATTCTCAACGGAAATCTCGTCTTTGCCAACCTACCATAATGGTTACCATCTATCATTATCATATGTATGATGGAATGATTGACGTATCTGATAAATTTTTGAACAGTATTTGTATATGAACACCTTGATTAACAAAAATGAACTTACGAACACTATTTTTGGCAGTTGGTGGGATGATGCAGTCTCCGGTTGTGTGTTTTTATGGAATGATGTGGCTATTAAATAAAAGACTCTCGAATTACCTGTAGCTGGTCTAGCAACGGTAGTCTTGACTCCACCACCACTACTGTCATCTTTTTCGGCGACAGCTGACAGCTTTGTGGTGGACATCACCCTGGAAATGCCCTTATCAGCTTCGTCTCCTCCTTTCTCCACGTCAGCTTGAGCGCTTGCAGGTGGAACAGCTGTATGTTGGCTTCTATCTCGACGGAACTTCGAAAAGATCTTACGCACCAAGTGGTCCTGAATTTAAAATACGTAAGATTTGTTTACGAAAAAGGGATTCATGTAAGATTAACTGTCTGTGCATACATTACTTTGAAAAGTGGTGCATGCCCTTTTGAAATAAATGGTGAATGGACTGACTCATCGCTCCATTTGAAAATCTTCAACTATAATAAGTCAATTAATTACACCGTCGCCAACCTTTCTTCTAAACCTCGTAATCAGTGTCGTAGAGAGGAACAACCTTTACTCCACTGCGTTGCATCGCAATTTGATCATCATATCTTCCACAACACTATGATGGATAACAGGTTTAGTTTCGCGAGGTAGTTTCCTTCGTCAGCGATATTCTTCGGAGTATTAACATAAACTTTGCCTTCGAAGTACCCCACAGTAAGAGTCAATGGCTCTCAAATCTGGTGGTTGGTCTTGATATGCAGCATCACCAGAGCAAATAACTGGTGTAGTTGTTTTGAAAATTCAAAAGGAACTTGTCACACTTACGTCATTATGGACAACATTCTGAGCTGTTTCCGCAAAAGTTGCTATCTCTTTACATGCTCATCACGATCTCTAGGATTGATCGCCGTGGATGCGTTCCAGAGGTAAAAGCAATGTTTGGGCTAATACTTCGAAGAAGTCCGTCTGTGTTTTGGTTACAATAATTATGGATGTTCAAAATGACGGTTAGAGTCAATTAAACCGGGAACAGGAGGGCGAGGATAGAAAAAAGTCCTAGAACCACATTATAGTCGACTTTTGAGGCCCGAGACCCTTGGATTTTAAGCGAACAATAACGTACCTTAGGTGTCCCTCAAGTGGAAATTTAACGTTTCATAGTAAGATGTATCAGTTGAGGCTTTCCAAAATTTTGGTATCTTGAGATGCCAGCCACAACCTACTGTGAAATGCAAATGTTGATTCTCCACTTGAGGGTCACTCAAGGGTGCGTTATTGTTCTTTTAGAATCTTCGGGTTTATCAACCGTCAATAGGCACTCAGCCCTCAAGCGTCGTTTACAAATGCGAGCCTCAACCTTATCTGGGACTGTCAAAATTTGCCTGATAGTGACCATCCAGTCAACTGCAAGAGGCGCCATTTCATCCTTATTGAGAACCTTCAGCGCAGTATGGTGCCTATCTCAGTGACTGATTCCAGCAGCAAATGACATTTTTATGTTGTCTACTTACACTTACATAAAACTTGCATGAACCTTCTGCTTACCTGATTTTGATCCAATTGTGGTTCATTCTTTCTCCTTTCCGCCAATTCTTTTTCTCTCTTAACATCCGCTACCTTCCTAAATATAAGTCGATGTCTTAGATTGTACGTGAGAATTAAATTCCTAGCAAAGCTATTCGCGAACGCTTGGTAAAAGTCTAAAACCTCTAACAGTTTGTCCCTTTTTATCGTATGCAAATCACAGTAAGTTAACGCGCGCACATTCGCTGCAGATTGGCCCACTGCGTTGTCTTTCCAGAAAGAATCACCAAACACGTCACCTTTACCTGGAAAAAAATCATCCTAACCTAAGAACAATAATATTCTATGTGGGAAATGCATTATGTCTAGTGTTCTAGGTCCATTCATCAAGTTCTAAAAAGGACTTTCTGATTATCGGGGACTGTCACATGCAGCCATACAAACAAATCGTTGATATGTCTTTACCTAGATATGTACTGAATTTTATCTGATCCATCGCAAATAATTGAGACAGAAACTCATAGTTGGAAAGGACCTACAGATATGTCAATTGGAACCGCATACCGATATGTGCCAGCTGTACTAATAGGCAAATGTGAAAGAAAACAAAAATTTCGTGTTAAGAAAATAGGATAAAGAAAAGTATCACCACCAAGGATTTTATTAAAATGGGCTCTCCTAGGTATGTAACTAAAGGGTTTGTTTTTATTTTTACATCTCCTGATATAAGTTACGTTAGTCTTGAAAGTGAAGTAAGACAGTCCCAGCTCAGACGACGCTGTTAAATGAGTGGATATCTGGCTCACTTCTTGGTATTGAAAGAGAGCAGACCTAACCTTCACGGAATATGAGTTAGAAAACGTCATGCGTTTATGTTAAAATGAAAGTACACCGACATGGATCGTTGCAAGAATCTATTTCTAAACAAGGTTGTAAGTCTCGCAATTTAAATTTGCTAGATTTTGCAGATAAACAAAATAAACTTAACATAAAATCTGTAAATTCATACCTAATATAGCAACCACTTCGTCGTCCTGTATCACTTCCAGTGATCCAGTGACGATGAAACAAAGAGAATCGATGGATTCTCCGGTGTGGTAGAGCAAGTCTCCTGGCGCAGAATGAGACATTTGGAAATGCATTGCCAAGGCCCTCAGGCAACCATCAGATGCAAGTCGGAATGCTGGGTGTTCGTTGAATACCTTTCTGTTCAAATGGACACAGATGTCTGCTTTCATGTCCTTTGGGCAGAAATTCAGTACCTGAAGATAGAGAAACAAAACTGACTCCGACATATTCCATCGCAAACAATGATTTACAACTTAAGCATACTTTGCAAACCTATTTCGTGATTTTGGTAAACTATCATTATTGATACGCTTTCTTGACATAACACAAAAGAATGCAGGACAAACGAATCTTTTGCCATTGGAAATAATTATAAGAGAAAAGTGGTATATCAAAACGTATAAACGTTTGGAATGAAATTCAAAAAACAGATTTTTAAATGTGTTGATATGAAATTCTGTGGTCGAATCAACTATCCTTCGAGTATTTTTATGACTTAGGTCCCGGTTATACTCTGAGGTGGCAGGTGCTAAGTCGCAGGTGCTAGGTGGCAGGTGCTAGGTGGCAGGTATTAGGCGGCAGGTGTTAGACGTCATGGACACTGTTTCTATCTAATTTGCATTTGCTTTGAAGGTAGGGATTTCTAGCTAACTGGCTACTATGTGAAGTACACCGGCGATTGGTCAAATATGCAATTCTGAGTTAGAAAAAATTTAATTTTCTAGAGGATATTTAACGAAATCTTGTAATATTATGCTGTGGGGCGATAACAGTTTAATAACTATGTGACAACTTACAGGCTTGAGAACAATTTCTGTATTTGGCATAACTGCTAGTTATCTACCAATCTGGCCTTAATGTACTCATTTCTAGTAAAAATGTGTAGACGTGCAACAACGTTGCCATACTTATGTGGTTTGTCATCACTTTGGGGGGATTTTAAAATATATGATTTTTGAGGGTCAAACGAACCTTTTTATTAGCAATCGCAATCGTACACTCCAAGACTACTATTGCGATTCCTAAAGCGAAATGTCAGTATAAACCAAAATGAAATAAACGTTAATTTCGGCGTCTCGATCACGCTAGTACTAACCAGTAAGCCGGATAATCTGGTAAGGCAGTATAATAGAGCGATGATTGCCTTTTTGCCTTTTAAATCGGGTGTAAGGTGACAATATGATTCGATCCTATCTGACCCATCTGGCAGCCCTGCATGACAATATTCACAATAGGGATATTCCGATTTGTTCTCTTTTCAGTCTGCAACACGCAGCAAATACCCGACACCGCGTAAAATCAGCCTAACGCCTACCACCTGCCACCGTTAGGTATAACCGTGGATTTATGAAAGGATGTTAGTTTGTTTTTAGCCACCATTTTTTAGTGTCAAATTGCTGCCAAAGCAATATCGTAATCATACTTACTTTATCCTGATCGAGCCCTTTGGTCATGGCCCAGGTAGACACCACGTAGTCCATTACCCGTTCTGACAGCGCCTTCGGTACTTCGTGCAACTTCATGAACTCCCTAACGTTGTTCAACATGTCATGGTACTTTGCAGTTGCCGACGTCATTTGTTGGATGATGGTAGTCACGTGACCGAAGATGGTGGCGTATAATAGGGCTGGAATTTTATAGGTATCAAGGATTGTGTGTCAGATTTTACAGTAAAAGGAACTATGTTCTACTAAGTTCTACGGAATCTGCTGTCATGAGGAACAAAATGCGGTCCTCAAGAAGAGTAAGGATGAATTCAAGGGGGTTTTGTGTTTGAGCCTTTCTCGATTCTAGTAAACAATCATCAGGTTTCCGTAAACAAAGTTGCACGCTTCCTAATATCCTAAAATATAAAACGAAAGCCATGACTACCATAAACGCGAGTTTAATATTATTTTATGCAACCTTAACGGGAAATCGATGTGAAAATTCCTTTGCAACGTTTCCAAGGCTCAGGTCCGTATTCTCCTCCAGAAAAATAAGATAAGGCGCTTCATTTATGTACAATTTTCCGTGAACATAGAAAATAGAGAAAATCTACTTGCGTCATTTTTTTAAAGGGGCTTATCTGTCTTAGGTACCAGGTGAAGATATTGTATGCAATGAGCTTTTAAGACTGTGAATGAATTTAACGACTAGACACTACCAACACCAAAGTATGGATCCATTTTGTCCTGATAGCATTCAGTGGAAATTTTCACAACCAGCCCACGTGATGCCGTTTTCCATTATCAAAATAGCTGGATGTGAACAGGGATAGCGTAAACATTAAAGTATTTCAATTAGTTTGAATTATTATACGGTTCTTTCCAACAATGAAATTTCTGATAGTCAGTACAGGTCATTTACAGTATACCAGATCAGATCAGCTTGTAGCAAAGGAAAAACGATAATAGTTATTTGTTTGGGTGACTGTATCTAACGGTCTCTGGTAGTCGGAAATTTCCCACTGAAAGTAACCATTAGAGAAACAAGTAGGTTATAAATCATCAAGCTAAGGGTTAGCTCCAGAGCGCCAGCACACTTATTAATATGTATATCTCGCTATGTATTTAGGCAAAACAAATAGAGACCCTCAGGTAAAGGTACTTAGCTTAGTTTCCAACTTGGATTGTGATAATCCTTAAAGCATATATTAGCAGAATAATCGGATTCCAGAGTTAAGTTTTCCTCAGACATATTTTTATAATAAAAATTGGAATAATCTTAAATTAAAGTGCAGCAACTTTTCATAACTCTGGTTTGTTCCAATTATAACTTTGGAAGTTTGGAAACTGAAAAATGTGGTCTGAGAATACTACCTGGTCTTTTAACTTTCATCGATCACTAACTAACTGAATGTAAGCATTTAATATAGAAGTTGCTGTACATAAGTTGAAGAGTTTATACGCCTATTTTTCGTTAACTTATCGATTCAGTTTATGTCAGTTAATTGTTATACCGCGACGTGGCGAGCAAAAAGGCTTGTGAGTGCCATCAGGCAGAAATCAGTCTTTTTTACAGAAAATTGCTAAGTGTAGTTGAGCCGTTTTAAAGTTTCCTAGCTGGATACGCAACTTTGTATAGAATGCTACTTTGATTCCGTATCCTAAGCGTTTACAAGTTCAAGATACCCGCATACTCTGTAGCTTTTGTTTTTTGATGTAAGCAAGTGAAATACAACTTTACCTTGTTGCGGAACACGTAACTTGAGATTTTTACTTTTATTTTCATTTAAATTATTAGTATTTCCAGTAAAGGGCCCCACTAAAAAGACCAGCTGCGAGCAAAAAGGGAGGGTTTTTACCTTTTGTCGTTTGTATGGTGCCATATTGGTATCCGATTTCAACCATTTCTTCTGGTTTATTCCCCACTAACAATATTAATTTCATTTAATATTTTAATTATGAGCAACACTAGAGGCAGATATTTGACGGTAGGTACATATTTACTATAGCTTTTTTTCAGAAGCATATTTGTTCAACTGATGGATCGAGTTCTCTCGAAATATTGTAAGGGACATGATGTGAATCAGCTAAACACAAGTAGCACCATTCCATAGTTATTAGAGAAAAATAATCTGCCAGCCACAGACTTTAGAGGCCTACATTGCCTTAGAAGAGCACTGAAACTTGAAAAAATACTTCCAATTTATACAGCTCCAAGGGCCTTATTGGTCAATTTAGACGAGAGTGTCCTGTCAGGAAAACCATTATGGCCTTTTTATGAAATTCGAGGAGGTCCTCTATAAATCCGGGTTTTCGTTTTTCGATGACTCGTCTTTTGTTGAACTTTTTTCATGCCTTTGCCCTTACTGGCTGCTGCACCATTATAGGGACTTTTTCATGATCCAAATTCTAATAGACTGTTTAGTGCGTGTTCTAGTCACGCCATAGATAGGCTCCAAACTTATAAGGCGATTGCCGCACCCCGTCGGGCTAGCTCATCCGCCTTCTCATTGCCTTTGTGCCGTTTATGTCCTTGTACCCAGAGCAATGTTACCTTGTTTCAGTTTTCTAGGTCTTTGATAAGTGTTAACGCAGTCCCCTACTAGTTTGGATGATATTTGCGATAAACTTGCACTATAATTCGTTACTAGTTTTTTTGCTCAGAATTGTGAGGTCGTTATTTCAGCCTGAACTTACAAACTAAGTATAAATTTGTTTCATTTTCTTTTTATGGTCGGCTAAAAATTAAATATATCTTGATAAAGTAAATTATTACAACGTTTTGCTTATTTAAGAGAATAATTGTATATCAGTTCTTAAAAATATAGAATTTTATTTTTATAAAAATAATTTTATGGTAGAAAATCGTACTCTACTCTCCATCTCCTTATAGGTCATGTTTTATAATTTCTGTCGACCGTAAATACGAGAGCTGAAGGTGACTTGGGGCTATTTCCGTTGCTCTCACGTAGCAGTACAGCGCCACAACCCGATTTGGTGATAGGGTTTCACACTCAGTGCTGCGGCATTACCGGGTTGTGGAAATTTTGTGAGAAATCTGCCTCCAATAGTGATTTCTTTATCGGAGCCCTTTTCTCACCCTCTTGGGGATCTAGCCGTTGCCACAGCTATACTAAACTATCGAGTTAAGGGGAACTGGTTGCATTGATACCCCGAGGCGAACTTTGACTAGGGAGCAGTCCTCCATTTCTGTGAACCCTCATTGTTCGAAGGTTCTACCTTCGGGACTTCCTGCCCTCGGATGCCTACCTGTTATAGCCAAGCACCTGCCTGTGTTCTTTTTTTTTAATTTAGTTTTACTGTTAACCATTTAGCTGGAGGGATAGTACAACATAACTTTCTTTTACTTGTCCTCCAGGACCTCTTTAATTTTTTTTATTTCTTTTCTTTTTCAATAAATGTTTGTGTACCTTGTGATTTCGTATCGCCTTTAGCGCCAGAGACCCAACAATGGTTACCTGTTATTTCATTTCCTAGTGCTTAGAACTAAGTGTGTGTGTAAGGGCTGCAGGTAACAGTTATACAACAAAAGTGTAAGCCTCTTGCAGCCGCTATAGGACATTTGCGTCAGTGCAAGATTCAGTTTTTGTCAACTATACAACTATTCTGTTACGTGATTCTACTTTATTGCAACCAAACTATTTCTTATGAATTGTATAGACGAAGTGAAGAATATAAAACACAATACAGTCATCTTGTTTACTTACATATTGGCCATTGTGAATTTCATACACAGGTATATGATAAACTTCTACGCTGTGATATAGGGCTATTGAATTACTTGCGCAGAAAATTTTATTGTGATTATCGTGCAAAGTAGGTACGCAATTTCTACGCGCTTCGTATTTGATTCATATTTTGATAATGATCAAAAGTATGTCTGGATTTTTAAGATGGAAAACTGAACTTATCTGCATTAAATCTTCCACAAATCCTATATCTAGACACAATTACACTAAACTTTATCACTTTATATCTGTAATTTCGAACTGAAACATAATTATTTAATATCAAATAGACGAATAAATGTTTGCCCAATATGGCGGGTGGTTGTGTATGGCATCGTCCATGTTGTCTTTCGTTTATTAAAATATTTTGGTGTTGCCTGCAGGTGTTATACAACAATTTGACAAATGTCTGAAATGAAAACAGAGTCCAATGATTTACCTAGAATTTGTACCAGATCTATATAATCTGTTTGAACAGTTGATTGGTTATGGCATTTTAACAAAAATATGACAGCAGAAAGTTAGGTTATGGTGAAGTTGTATACCAACATATTTAGCATATGTACAGCCTTTAACAATTACTAAACAACAGTTGTATAAGTGCTTCCGTTGGGAGCAATTTGTTGGCTAAAGTAGTAAATTTACACAGCAAAACAACAACGCTCGGGTTTGTTTTATAAACGTTACCATGGATGCCTCAACACAACCATTTTGAGTAACCTGCAAATATTCCGAATAAAATAGTTGTATAAACGTTTATACAACAGTTAAAAATTTGTCCTATAAGGTGTTGTGTAACTATGCTATAAGAATATTTTAATCACCCCATTTTAGAGCAAATATGTTGCAGAAAGTAAATTTGCATTCCACACAACATTAAGCCAGCATTTTGATGTTCAGGCAACAATAACAGAGAGCTTTTATGGCTGAACGGTTCTTTTACAAAAAGCTTATAGCACTACTTTGCTAGTTGGGATTTGATTCCTCACCAGCAATGATCATCATGCAAATTGTGAATATCCTCTCGTTGTCGGTTTCCGCTGCGACATTGCCAAACCCCACTGAAGTCATGCAGGTCATAGTGAAGTACAGAGCGGTGACGTACATGGTTTTCCTCGAAGGACCATTGATTAGCTCTGGAGTGCTCGAGTCGTTTGGCCACACGTAGGAGTACGGGTTTTGGGTGACGTTAGCCAGCTTCCAAAGCCAACTGTACTGGACGCCGTTGTCGGCATCCGAGCGACCAATGGAGTACCTAGAAGTAATACGTTTATATACTTAGAAAATTATCAAAACGCAAAAGACCCAGCGAGAGTCAAAACACAGGGTAACGCAGGTTAGATGAAGCAGCGCAGTAATAACAGACTCGTTTTATGTGTAGGCTTAAATGTTGTGACAGGGGTGACTAATTTATACTCAATCAATCTATAAGCGTGTAAGGTCGAACAGGCGTTACGCAATTGGCACCCTAATTGTTGTACAGTTCTAATACTATGTAGATATAATTAATTTTGAATTATACAACGTTCAAGTACATCCCTAAGTTGACCTGACTATTACTGTGGCGCTTCGTGTTGCCTACGTCACCCTTCGGGTCATAGCGTAAGATCTCAATGGTTTGCTGCGAACCATAGTGTGATCTTGTGTTGTTTGATGTGCGTAGTAGATGTTATCTGATATTTTATGGACGTCACAAAGCCTAGCTTACATAATGACTTCTTTGAAGGCCAATAAAATATGGCATTGTACACTGACTGAAAATAAAGCGGAAAGAGCGAAGATACAGGTTTTAGAAGTAAGCTTTGAAAATGGCAGACGATAATAGATAGAGTGGTATTCCGTGGATGTCTGGGCGCTCGATGTTTGAATCAGTTTTTTACTAACTTTTCGGCCCTTACGGCGGAAGGAATTCAAACATGAGCGGCTCGATTTAGCGGCGAGACAACCATGGAATCATATTAGCATGGACACCTCAGGATAAGTTCCAGATGTTACGTTTGAGAATAGAATACCTACTTTAGATGGCGAAGCGTTTCATATCAATATCTAAACAGGAATCGAGATATTCCTACACCATACTCACCGAGTGATGTTCAGTGCGTTCAATGAAAGGCTACCCAAATAAACTTAATAAGTATAGAAAATTGAAAAAGGTGTTCGTTGTCAAATAATCTAAAGCACATACCAACTAGAGGTCATTACGAAAAGTATATTGAACCTTAACGAACAACAATTCGGTGGGAAACACTATTTTTGGAGGATAAAGAAAGATGTAAATGATAATTTATGTTTGCATGTGAGGAAAGGAGAACCTGTATAAAGTTGGAGAGGAACTGATTGAAAATGGTCTCAGAGTAGTTGTATGTGCTGTTTGATGCTGAAGTTGTATTGTACCAAATGCTGAGAAGAAAATGTACAAGGAAAAAGAGGTATTTCCAGGAACATCCATAATTCCTATCACTTTATTATACGGAAGCAATAGGTTCGATATGTTTATGATAATTCTCATGCAAAATGTACTTTAAAAGTAATTATGTACTCAGTACTTCTTAATAGTTCTGTGATAGTACTATAATCACAAAGCTTGCACCTTTTGCACTCCTTTTCGCCACTCAATTATATACTTGGTTTTGTGTTACATAACTGAAGTCCATGAATTACAAAAAAATAGTTACCATATACAAGCAAGCCAATGAGCGACCAGCATGTAGAAACATAAAAGCAGTATTAACATAGCAGCACCATATTCCAAATATCTGTCTAATTTTCTCACTACTCGGCCAAGTCGCAGCAGTCTCACTACTTTTAAGGCGCTGAATAAGCTTCCAATTCCCTGAAATTAAATATAGTCATGTTACGATACTTCCGCGTAACAGATGGTCTGCGCCACTAAGTGCACCCAAACTTGCTCCGCTATGCGCTGCCAGGGTACATCTTTAGACCATTGGATTTAAATATATTCTTAAAAATGTATTGCTTTTTTGTACTTTAAGTGTATATTACCATCCATCTAACCCCGTCAGTTGTGAGCCTTTCTCACCAAACCATTTTTCAAACTACTTCATTACCAATATGTATATGATTTCAGATTTTTTAAGGTCATCTAAATCTCAACAAAATTGAGCAAAGGGTCATTTCAGTCTAATTCGTGGAAAACTGAAGACAGGGCGGATGCATTCGGACAAGCTGTAGCGGAGCGAGTTTGACTGCACTCGGTAGCGCAGACTTTTACGTGAAAGTATCGTTTATTGCGGCCAGATCATGAACATAATAAGTGTCACTTTGGAAAAATGTAGATATATTATTTACTGCACGGCAGTTGTGAATCAGAACCATACTTGTTTCTAGTAAGATAGTAGCATATGCCATTTTGTTAACCACCTGGCAGCGGTGCACGATAAGTTCTCTGCTATTTTTGTACCTTACTCTAGCTGTTTCATACACTGTGTTTCCATATTGAATGTCAATATTCAATGGGCGACTTTTGGGTCAACTTTAACTTCACATAAACGTCCTAAGTGTCTTTAACTGTTGAGATCAAGGGTGATCAAGTGTTCAATACAAAAATGAATCGAAATACGTGTTTATTTATGAGATTTCTTAAATTTTTCAATCCGACGCATGCTTTTCACTTAAAAAAGAATAAAATCTGTTTCACTGCTTGGTGATGTCATATCAAACAGAAAGATAGTTTTTTTTAAGAAAACCGTGCATCGGATTGAAAAAGATCGAGCAACAAATTTGCTCAAAAATGTCTGAGGATTTAAATGCAACGTCATTAAAATTTCCAAAGTAGCATTTAAGAATTTTAATGAATAATATTGAAATTGGGTTTTCTCAGTTTTTGAAAGTCTCGGGGTCACTCATGTGGCAACCACTCTTGGTTTTACCATATTTTACGCCCAAATATCTGTACAGTCAAAGTATTCATTTGTCACTGTACAGTAACTTTATCATGGTGCCTCTGTTCCCAGATGGATGAAGTCGGTTTTAGCAGAGAGTGTCACAATTGACAACCCACAGTACATCAAATGCGTCTACCTCTCCACCTGCTAAATTATGGTAATCTCAGGCTCTCGGCGGGCTGGAGTGTGTTTTCTGAGATACGTCACAAATCTCTTATGCCAAACAATAGCTTTGCTCAAGCAGCATTTGAGGTGAACCAAGTCTCCACACCTTAAACATAACTATGTTATTACGTTATTTGCTGATTACCATGTAATCATGTGATTTTTAAACCAGGTTCGTCACATTACCTGTTGCTAAAAGCCCTTGATTTGTTACAATGGAACTGTACATTAGTTGACACATACATTGCGTACAATTTGTGTGGTTGTGTACAATCTATGGTACACTATTGCAGAGCGGTAGTAGTATGTTGCTGCAACTAGCTTTGAACATCTACAGTATGTGTTCTAAATATTTACTTAGACGAGGACGGAACATGATCGAACGAACTTACCTGTAAGTAAAGTCCTCGTCGAAGTAAATAGCTTCCTCGCTCCCTAAGACCACCCAATTGTTGCAACAATTTGGCTTTGAATAAAATGAATGTTTATAGGCGGCCAGAGGGGAGGAAGGTAGGGGGAAGGGGCGCGGTTCCGCTTTCCTTCGCTGCGTGCGCGCTTTGAAATCGGGAGGTTTGGTGAAACTACGAGGGTACTACATAATAAACGATTTATTTTTGTTGACATATTATTACAGCTTTAGCCTTAAAATGGTCCTAAAATCGCCCCCTTGATAATATTGACCCTCAGGAAACACCCGATATGGTATTAATTTATTTTTTTATGAGTAATGTGTAGGGTGCTTGCTGTTCCTTGGCACAAAATGGAGTAATAACTGAGTATAAGTAGTGTCACTTACATCTTCGTCGTGGTCGAAAGCATTGAAAACGTCATAAGGCAAACAACTCAGTAGGTCGATGATGAACCAGCTCTTGAGATAGTTCATCCGTATCACTTTGGGGTCCGATACGACTTCTCCACCGGGTCCCACGAATGTCGTATGGAAGTTGAGCACTATGTCGATGAAAAAGATCACGTCGACGATCGAGTCCACCACTAGCAAGGATACATCTTCTGAGGTCTTGTTCTTGAAGGCTACGTTGTAGGGTACCTGCAAATCGAGCGATTTTTCTCAACATTGGTTATTTCCTGGATGTGTTACACTTTACATTTTGATAGACTTTCTATCCCAGAACAGGGAATTTCGAAGACATTTTCTGTAATTTTGTTTACCTCAAAAGTGTTTGGCAAGCGTAATTTTGGGATACATACTGGTATATGTGTGTATAATCACTGCGGATAATCACAGCTCTACAGGATGGAACTTTTCTCCACATGATATGTAGTTCCTATAAAAGTAAGTAAATGACCAGGCACAAAACCTATGGGAAACGGATCCCATTAAATTTGTCTAAAAATTAAGTGATATATTTCTTACCTTTCCTAATTGCAAAAATGGTGAATGTGTCGACTGTAGTGCTGCGACCATAAACTCTGATAATCAGCATACTAGACGAAATATTTCGTTAAAACACTTTAAAGGAAGGTGTTGGAAAGTATCATGTTGATCGTGACCATGATCCTTACAAGGTCAGTTTCAAGTAAAGTTTATTATTTTTGTTTATACTGGAATAGTTTTGGCACGAGAATTCAGGAAATTCGATAGGACAGGTAGTTTTTCAAGGACACAGAGAGGTCGTGGTTGTTTCCTCGTCTTTGATTATGACCTTCACAAAGTCAGATGGACGTCATGTTATTTTTGAAGGTAAAAAGCAAAGCGCACCTTAAGTTGTAACTAATCCACCTCCCTTAGGCCTGCTTATAAATGGAACCACCGATGTTGAGTTTACAAATTTACTGACTCGATAGAATCATCATCACAATCAACATGACAGCTTCCAACATCTTCCTACAATGTGTTTTAATAGAACATATCTTTTAGTATACTGATTCTCAGAGTTTTTGGTCCGAGAACCACAATCAGCACATTCGCCCCTTTTTTTTCAAATTAGACAAACTTTATCCGCCTATTTCTCAGAAACTAATCGTAGGATTCCTTCAGTCCCATGGACACTTTTGTTCGGGGGAGCAAGAAATATATCATACTGCATTTTTAGACAAACCGACTTGGTCCAATCTCCCATATGTTTTGTGCCTGGTCCTTTTCCTGATAACATAGACAACAAACCGTTGCTAAACATATTCAAACCGAAGATAGCCAACCATATAAACATATTCAGGAGTCAAAAAAAGAATCTGAAAGATACGAGCGCCATCTATGAAGAGTAGCAGAACGAAAAAATGAATTTGGAAATTCACTTTGAAAAGAGAGATTTAGGTTCTGTTGGAATTCTGGGCAAAAGGGAATTAAAGATTCTAGCGCAACGCACGAAACAACAGCAGAACCAAAAACTCTTTGCAAAGCAGACTTCTTAGTTTAATTTGTATGTTCTGCTGCTGTCTTGGTGTCCGCTAATATCGTTCAGATCCCTTTTTTTGGGCGCCGAAATATAGTATATGGTGGACTGTCTTAATCAATGACCGATACCTTAAAATGTGGAAAATCAAATCTAGCCCTCCCTGGAGTGAAGAATTGGGTAAAAGGATACGACGTACTTCGGTAGTCATCCCAGATGCTACGCGCCACTTAGGTAATGCAAACTGTTTGTTCACAACACGGATTAGAAAAAGCTAAAATCGTAAATGTGGGCGTTTTCAGATGTTATTCCCGGAAGCTTCCATCCCGTGCCGCGTTGTTTATCTCGTTTGTGGAAACGTTGAGATGGGTAATGTAGCAGACCTAGACAGCACCGAATATTACAACATGTGGCAGGGCGATCCTTTTTTTATCATATTATCAAATAGACGATGAGAACCTACCTTTCGTCATTTGTTTACTTTTCGCTTTGTTGTTTCAAGGGTAGTTGCTTTTGGAGACGAAAGATACAACTTTATCAAGTACGAGTATATTTTTTGAAAGCTTGACTTACCATGATTGCTGTGTAGAAGGTGAGGCAAAGTATGATCCAATCCCAGATGGCTTTGAATGCACAGTAGTGCAACAGGATGTGTGGCGGGGTTTTGGGGGCTTCTTGACGGTACTGTGGCATTATATCTGCACTCAGGCTCATCATCTGTAGAAAAACGATTCGTGCATGAATATGTCGAACAAAATACGCTATCTTTCATTCCAAATTCTGCTCCCTTGGCATTTTTAAGAAATGTCGTTTAGTAGACTGACTCTGTCCTTTCCAGGCAACGATATCACTATTTATAATAATAATATGACAATGTACAAAACGCCTTAAGTAATTTGAAAAATGATTCAATGAGAAATCTACCAATTTTATTCCGTTTGCATTCAAGGCCACTCATTACCCACTATCATCTTTTTCAGATTTATAGCATATCAAGCTAAACAAAACATGTTGGAGAGTTACCCACCTATTCAACTATATTTGCTGTTTTGCTTAACCAAACAAAAATCAAAACTATTTCACTTTATATTATTAGATTGATATCCAACCTGGTATATACTCTTGCGTCCGGGATAATTATATAAAAATCTATATGAGCATATACGAGTTCTATAAATCAAGTGATGAGACTGGAAACGTAGTGTTCGATCTAGCAACGCTGGAGGCGCCGGACCTGGAAGGGAGACAGGGTAACATTCAAATTCAAATTCAAATTCAAAATATTTATTTCGTCATGAATAAACATCAGAAACAAAAGAAATTCTACATATAGAGCAATGACGAAAAAGGACAGTCTCTCGATACATTGGACCCTTTAATACAAAGAGTCCATGCGAGAAAGCCCTGAACACCCTAAAAGTCCTTAAACAAAATAAAAAAAACAATAAAGAGGCAAATGAAGAGGCGGTGAAACACAAAAAGGCAAAAAAGAAGAAAGAACCATCGGGAGCTGGCAACGGACGCGAAGAACAAATCTATACAACCTGTCAGCGAGTAGGAATGTAAAAACGATATGTTTGCTCACACAAACGCTGCTAAAGTAGCTGGTGATTCTGAAACAACGTTTTTGTCAGTTTTGAGAATGTTTTTGACGATGAGCTTTTAACTGAAGTTCTTAAATTATTCCATAAGTGAACCGCCACATAGGCAAACGATCGTCGGAAGGAACGCGTTCTATGCCTAGGTACGATAAAATTGAGATTATTTCTGCTTCTCGGGGGAATAGGCAAAGGCACAAATCTTTCTCTTAAATAGGGCAGTTGACCTGTTTTTCTAACCCTATAGATAAAAGAATACATGTGATATTTTCTGCGATTTGTCATGTTTAATATGTTGTAGTTATTCAGATAAGGAGTGATATGGTTTCGATATGGAATTCCAAACGCAAATCTCATGCAACTATTTTGAACTTTTTGTATGCATTTTTTGGTTCGCGACGATAGCGAATCACCATAGACGACATCTACATAGTCAAAAAGTGATAAAATTAAGGTATTACACAAATAATACTTTTGTTTTGCTGATAAATGTTTTTTTAATTTGTTTATATTTTTTAGTCGCATGTAAACTAAATTTGTTATGTTTTTTATATGAATGCCGAAGCCAAGCGAGCTATCAAATACTCGTATAATGCCTAGATTTTTTGTCTCCTGGACTATGGGGATTCTGTCATTGTAAATAGAAATTACTAAATTTTGTTCAAAATGTTCTCTTTCATTACTGTTTCTATTCATAACCATTGCTTGCGATTTTGAGGGGTTTAGTTTAAGATTGTGATGCTGTGCAAATCTGTCAATTCTTTGGAGATCTGAATTTGGTTGTTGTGCAATATGGATTGTGGTTTTATTGACAGGGAGATATATTTTTGAGTCATCTGCATATTGTTTTATCTTTGCGAATTTTACCGATTTGACCATGTCCGATATGTAGAAAATTGAACGATGAGGAACTCCTCTTTTTATAGGTTTAAAATCGGTTTTGTAAATAGCAGAATCATTTGCTAACATAACACAGTTTGAACGGTTGCTTAAGTATGTTTTTATTTACGGAGTTCTGCGAAAACCCCTGGTAATGTAACTTAGCTAGTAACATTTCATGATTTAGAGTGTCAAACGCTTTACTAAAATCGAGAAGAACCATGCAAGTACTATTTTTTTGTTCTTGATGATGTGTGATATCATCCAAGATATTAACTAACGATGTACTTGTGCTAAAGTTTTTCCTAAAACCGGATTGACTATCGGGTATGATATCGTTTGTGTCACAAAGAAATCTAATTTGATTATAAATATGCCTTTCTAAAATTTTGGATGTAGCGGGTAATATGCTAATAGGCCTCAAGTCTGTAAATTCTTTAGGTTCTGCTATATTTGGTAAAGGTTCAACAATACCTTTCTTCCATATTTCTGGATATAATCCCCCAAAATACATGTGTTGATTATATTCAGCAAGGCATTCGTACAAAATGGGATACATAACTTTAGGTCTCTCATAGAGAAACGATCCTCTCCAATGGTATTTGATGGGATAGTAGTTACAATTTTGATTAGACTGGCCCTGTTTAACAGTTGGAAGCTAAGAGAATCGTTAATGTTTACATTCTTTTTGTAAAAATTGATTCATTCTTGGGAAGCAGTGTCTGGTAAATTGTCGGTCTGCTGGAAGTAATTGTGTATGTCATTTACATTTTGTAAGTGTTCGGGTATAGTTGAGTGAGTTTTCTTGCATGTTATGTTGAGCTTTTTGGTAGTGTCCCAAAATTCCTTACCTTTCTTTGTTGAGAGTAAGTTAAAGAATGTATTTTTTCTCGGATAATTGCATGCTTTGTATAGTTCCTTAGTTGTTTATGATATTCAAAATAAGCCTGTGATATTGATTTTTGAAATTTTTTATGAGCTTTATCTCTTAGTCTGATTAAAATTCTTATATTTTGAGTTATCCATGGTACATAAGGTTTTTCGGTTATTTGTTTTGTTTTTATCCGAGCATGTTTATTCAGAACAGTTACTATATTTTTATTAAAGACTTCTATTTTTTGGTCGATTTGGTTTATATAGTAAATATCCTCTCACCCAAGTAGAAACCCTTCATTTAAGAATTCTCTATCTATATTATTGTAGTCTCTATATTTAATAGTCTTTTGTGATTTATTTATTTTTGACTTTCGAAAGGCTGAGTAAATTAAGTTATGATCTGAGAGATTTTGAGAAACCGCCAATGATTTAGAATCAATAGAAATAAGATCCTCACTAGCACAGATTATATCAATGAGGCTAGCCTCTCTTATGGCAAAATTGAATCTTGTTGGCTCACTGATCCTTTGTGATAAGTTAAAACTATGAATTATATTTTTGAGGCGATTTGTGTATGCAGAATTATTTAAAATGTTAATATTTGGATATCCCATCAGTAATAAATAATCATATTTGAGACTGACAAAACCGAGAAAATTTTCTAAAGAGTCTAAAAAATAAGTGACACTCTCAGAAGGCGAACGATAACTATTAACTAAAAGATAAGTTTTTCCACCTATCTTAAATTCTATACCTATGGTTTCTGCACAGTTAATTTCCACATTTACCCTTGAATATTTCAACCCGCTTTTTATGTATAAAGCTACCCCTCCTCCTCGACCCTGCCTATCATTCCTTACAAGTTTGTACCCAGGCAAGCAAAATCTCTTGCTTCTTAAAGTTGGATTGAACCATGTTTCAGAAACTCTAAAAATATCAAAATTGTATTCTGTCATATAATTCCAGAACTCATCAAATTCAGAATTTATGGATCTGATATTTAGATGTCCGGTTTTGATGTGGACTATCAAATATTGATTCATCATTAACACTCTCCACTTGCCGACCCATGTTATCATTATCCGTTATCCCTTATTTCCTCACTATTGCCAGTCCCCGAAGACCAATCCCCGCCATCCCAATGCCCCCGCGTCAACATATAACCTCTATGTAACACTATTTCAATTTTGTTCTTATTTAATTTTGTAAACGAGACTAAACCTAACAACCTACAAAGCATTGCCATTCTTAAGTATACCTGCGTACTTGCATACATACCCTCACAGCAATGCGTTATCTGTGGCATTAGCAGGTCCAGATACACAATTTATGTTTTTCCCAAAAATTAACAGAATTAAGTCCATAACTTGCTGCGAAAAATAAAAACTGAAACCACTGCCACCTCTTTTGAGGTTTTTCCTAAAAACAAACAGTATACAAAGGAAACAGAAATTCATTATTTATTCTCTTAATTTAATTATTCTTGACATGTATTTAGAAACTAGGCATTTTTATTTTATTTAGTGTCCATAAAATTACTGTAAATTGGCAAAGTATGTGTATGGACTAATAAATTCGTTTGAAATTATTGCATAACAACATTGTGATTCGTATTAATTGTTATTAAACAATTATTTCTTATTTGTTTAACGTAAAACTGTAAGAAGAAAAGTAATAATAGGCGAAAAGACGAGTACTGATTAAGCGACATTCAAAGTAGTTAATACTAATACATTTTTTACGACTAGAATTAACGTCTAACACTGCCTACTTTGAAAACATCTACAGTAATGTTACCTTCATGTTAGAATGCTGCAGCACCCGCCCCCCCACATACCTCACTACACTGCATTGTTTATTGAAAACCTTACAAAAAAAAACCTCTTTAACATTAATTTTGTGTAGGTCCTCATCACTGGCGATTCGATGAACTTCATTGTTTTGTTTTACGTAAATATTTCCTCTTAGAATCCACGCATTGTTTTTCGTAAACAAATCAATACATCTTTTAAATAATTTCAGTCGCGATTTAGTCAGATCTTCTTTTATACGAATTCCGGTGTTTTTCAACAGTTTTCGATTTTTCAAAACCGATTCCGGTGAATCGCTGGAGGTGAACCATACCAGCACGGCCGACGTACTGTTATTTGACTTTTTGTTTGGTATGCGATGGTATTTGACTATATCTTTTTCTTGTATGTTTACTTTCAGTTTGTTTTGAAACAGATCCACTATAACATTACCCAAATCTTCCGCTTCCTCTTCCTTCAGCCCAAATATTCTGACATTCTGGGATCTCTCCATTTGCTCTTGATCGTCCATTTTCATGATAAGACGACTATTATCCCTTTCCAAATTATCGACCCTTTCACAAAGAGTCTGTATTTCCTCCTCGTTCCTGTTAAGTCTTTCCTCAAACTGCTTTTCTA